AAGGGTGGGCTCAGTTCAGCGCACGCTGTGTCTCACCTAAAAAATCCACTGCGCAGGCTCGAAGGGTTAATGACCTTTCCCAAATCTTCGCTCGCGAAGACTGGCCATTATTATTATTATATTATTATTATTATTTATTATTATAATGCAGGTAGAAACAAAATCAGTAACTCTTTTGCAGTTATGGAGGTAGTTATTGTACCAACAAAACCTGAAGGAGCAGAACATTAGGTGTGCTCCTCTTTTTGTGGATGCAACCTCATTATAATTGATATTTTTGCCTTTATTTCTAATGCAGTTTGAATTCTTGGTGCTGCAGTTTTAGTGATCGCACAGGAAAATTCTTTGGGCTGTACAACCAATGTACATGGAGTTCATGTACCCCAGTTTGTTCATCTGATGTTTATAAAAGTAGGGATATAAGGTGCCCCCCACAGAGGTAGTTTGTGTTGCTCACACAGCTCCCTCCCTTTAGGGCTGGGCAGTTGTGTGGGAAGCAGAGATTTCTGTGGGATTGAACGAGATGAAAATTCCTGGACTCTTAAATCTTTGGAGGCTTTATCAGCAAATATAAAAACATCAATTTCAGCAGAGAATTTCATGTTCAAATCTCATGAAAGGATATGGTTCGTTGAAAAGAGATTTATTGGGCCTGAATGTGTTTTCTCTGGACAAGACAGCTCAGTCCACATGGAAGTCATGAGAAAGGGTTTGCTTTTATTTCTTTTATTTCTTTTCCTTTTCAGATCAGGCTCTAATTAGGTGCCTCATGCCTGTTGCCATTCTCTGGTCAACCTACTGTAATTTGATATTAGTGGAAAAATAAGGCACCTTTTTCCTCAGTCTTCGAAGATGAAAATGAACCTTTCTCACCTCTTTTCTTTTACTGGGGGATTTTTTTGTTGTGTGTGGGTTTGTTGGCCCGGTGTTTTTCCTCAGGAGATGAGCTGCTATTTGGAAACAACTGTCTGCAAAGGAAATCTGTGTGTGATCAAAGGCCTGCCCAATTACAGAGTTATTACTCTTTCTCCTGGGTTTTTGAATGGGAACTGGCTGTCCCTGTTTTTGTCAGCAGTGCTCCTGGCAGTGCTGCAGTGCCTGACATTTGCTGTCCTGGATCCCTTTGGGGGACATTCACAGCGATCTGCTCTGGCAGGGGTTTGCTCATATTAAGTTTAATTGTAATGTCAGTGTTGTAGATCCTAATTGTGTCTCTCTGCTATTGCATTCAGGCACATAATAGACCTGGATGGCCTTTGAAGATGAATATAAATTCATTTCCTAGCACAGCTGCTAGGCTGAGGCAGATAGGATTTTACGATGATTGGGGTATAAAACCCCCGTAATTCCCCGGGGAGCAGAAATAATACAATTCATAATGTTGGTTTTGGTGATGTAGAATCATGTTAGGGAGTACATCTCGGAGGAGGCAGAACTATTGAGGCAGTTCAGGGGGAGCTGTTCTTCTCACCCAGGACCGTCTTCCAGCCACCATCCCGTGCCAACTGCTGCTTTCCAGGCTCTGCCTTAAATTCCTCCCTGGACATGTCTCAAAGGGGAAATGGCTCATTCCAGTGTGTTCAGAGCAGTTGTAGGGCCAAGCTGTAGGTAGGGTAGCAGTGAGTGCTGCCAGTCTCCCCTACCCCATCCTTCTTCAACTGAAAGAGCAGATTTTAGGGAAATGACTGTTTATTTTCATACTTCACGGGCGTGTTTTACCTCGTTTTGCCCCTCTTCCTTACACTGACCTAAAACCCCAAGCTGCTTTATTTTTTGTCAGAGCAAACCAGCCAGTGGATTGTATTGCATCACCCATTATTAACACAGAAATTGGTGAAACCACTGTATCTATTTTCAACTCCAGTACGAAGGGCCGAGCGCTGCGTTTCAGCCCTCTGGGTTCTCTCAGAGGTGTACTTACCTGAGATCTCCACCAGCCTTGTTCTGCAGGGGAAAATGAGGCTACCCTGTGGCTGTGCAGCCAGAAACAAATTCCCCTGATCCTTTTAGATGAGAAGTAGCAGGAGGAAAACTGTTCTTGGCTGGCAGAAGCCAAGAGATGCAAACGGTCTGCACATTTCCCATTAGTGGAGACGCCCTTTCCTCAAAGAGCCTTTTGCTTGGTCAGCTGCTGAATTATTCAGCGCCTTTATTTTTGTCCTGCTCAGGCCTCTTCACCCACCTGAAGGCACTGGGCAGCTCTTTATAAACAGCCCACTGTTGTTTGTTTTGCAGGCACTCCCCGAGGGCCAAACGGCGTCCTGGGACACGGCCAAGGAGGATGAAAACCGCAATAAGAACAGATACGGGAACATAATCTCCTGTAGGTGTAAATTCACATTAAACTGAGCTTCCTGGGAGATTTTATGTGCATGCTGTGGGAAAGAGTGTGTTTGAGGAGCTCACTGCAATCTGGTTTACAGTGCTGAGCGTTCAGGAGCTCAGTCCATTTGTTGCAGGCTAACATGTTTGGGTTTGTTTTATGGGGGAGTTTATAATTATTTTACATAACATCATTGCATGGATTTGTGGGGGTTTTACCCATCTTATATCAGCCTTGCTTTGTGCTTCATGTTTCTAATTTAAGGGCTGAATGCTTCTGTGAGATTCTCACAGTATGCGACGACGCCCATTTTCTGTCCATTTTTACTTCATATCCCAGAGCTTTCACAAGGGAGCACAAAAGGAGCTGCAGGTAGATCAGGTTTTTAAATGTGTCTCAGAGATCAGATTTTCTCCTTCCTTGTGGTAAGGAACCAGTGGAGCAGTCGCTGCTTGTCCCCAGAGAGCTGGTTTGATGGGTGGGACAAGCTCAGCTTCTGCCTCAGAATCACAGTAAGGCAGCTGAAAATGCACTGAAACCTCTTAGTTTACTTCTTTCAGTGATCAGTTATCGTTGATGTTACTGGAATATTGATACATTGCAGAAACACAGGGCAGGGAAGGACTCCATAAAGCCACTTGGGTCAGCTTTATTCTCCAAGGCGGGATTAGATTCATCTCTCTTATTTTTATCAGATATTTCTGAAGCCTCTTCCAAAGTTGATCTCCAAGGCTGAGCTTTCCACAGGCTCCCCAGGCAGCTCATCCCAGTGTTTCATTATTCCTTATGACTGCAGGGAGGAGGTGTGAAAAGTAATTCTTTTCAGGGGCTGCTGAGCAGCATCAAGTTGGAGAAGCCAAGCTTGAGACCATCAGAACAAGAAATAAGAATATAAATGAATGTGCTATAGATTTTCATGACTGGATAAATCTATAGAATACTATAAAAGCAAAATTAAGGGTTTTTTTTTTAAGTTCTATAAATCTATAGAATACTATAAAAGCAAATGCTGAGGGATATATTTTGCACTGCAGTTTTTTTCTTGGGTTAAATATATATTTCCTGTAGAACAAATAGACTTTACCAAAGAATTTTAAAAAAAAAAACACAACCAAACAAAAACCCAAACTAAACCTAGATTGCAGAGAAACATCATCTCCTCTCTTTTAAGACTTGGAAGAAGTTATTCATGTGGCACTTTGGGGGGGAGTGGCATAGAACAGCTCAGTTCAGAGCCCCTGTGGCAAAGATGAAGAAATCTGGAAACGAAGATCAGAAGTTTATGAGCCCTGATCTGATCCCACTTCTGCTGTTGGCTTTGCACTGGTTGTGAGCAGGTCACCCAGGCCATCAGTCTTTTTGTCTCCCTGTGGAAAATGGAAGTGACAGTAGTGGAGCATTACAATTAGCATGAAAATTGTCTCCCTTAACTTCAGCTGCCTGAAAGCTCCACCTCGCTGGGAGCAAAGAGAGACACCTCCAGCCAGAGGCTCAATTTACCTGTCTGTTCAATTAACTGAGATTAAATGAGTCTAAGACAGATGAATCATCCAGCTGCAAACACTGGATTGAAGGTGGAAGTGCCATCGTGTGATAAAGGAAGGAAATGTGAAAAACTTTGTTTCTCTGTGTGATTCTGAGGAAGCACTTGGCATAATTTAAAAGTGGAGGTGAAAAGAGGCCAGACCCCGTGCAACAGCCACCATCCCACTTAGGTTGAAGGTGGTCACAAAGAAAATGTTGAACTCCCAAGTGAAAAGTGAGAAGTTAGGAAGCAAAATCCAGGAAGATAAACGGGCTGTTGTCTAAAGGGAAGGTGCTCACAGAGACAAATTGTTGCCTAACGAAGAGTGATGTGAGCCTTTTAGCTATAAATATAAATACAGGAGCAGAGCAGATAGGAGGTGATGAACCTGAATAAGGGAATGCAAAATGTAATCAGAGCTAAGGAAGAAGTGTCTGCACAGGATAAAATGTCAGAAAAGAAGCTCGAGTGGGAAAGGTTGTTGGGAAAGATTTCAGAATGGGGTTTAGAGGGTGGAAAGGCACAGATAAGGAAAGCAAAGTGAAAGAGGAAGGATGCAGACAAGCTGAAGGTGAATAACAAAGCTGAGTGGGTTTTCTTCACTTCAAATATCTGAACAAAGAGTTTGAGGAGGAGACAACAGCTCTTCTAAAGGACAGCAAGGAGAATTTAGTAATGTGCAACAGTGATAAAATGAAGTCCTTGCTTCTATTGAGGAGGCCTGGGAGAATGAAGGGAGGATGCCTAAGGAAGGAGCATAACATCCATCATTTTGTAAAAACATTGGGAAATTCCAGCGGTGTCACTGGCTGAGCCAGACCCTGCTGATGGGCAACACGGGGCAATTTCCCTGAGTAAAGGCAGTGACAGGATCCAGAGCAAAGGAGCAAAAGCAGAGCTCAGAGTAGCAGGAAGGGGGTTCCCTCTAGGCATGTCCTGCAAATGAATTGTGCTCTGGTGGGTACAAGCTGTGCCAAAGCCTGAGCAGAGGACGGGGAACGTGGTGACACCCTGAGCTGCCTAGTTGTGCTAGAATTGTGATGGCTGGGGAAACTCAGAGCAGGCACTGGTTGCTCCTGCCAGTTGATTTGGTAAAAGGCTGCAGGTAGCAATTAACATTATTTATTTAACCACCAGTGCTGTTTTATCCCTCCTGGAACAGGATATCCCCTGCCTTGTGGGGAGTGAACTGAAAAGCCAGGTTTTGATCTAACTTCTGTAACTGCTTCAGAGACTTGTGTTAAAATGGGGGTTTGTAAGCCCTTGCAATAAGTAGCACTGCTCAGTGAATCACAGCAGATTAGATCTTGTCTTTCTGGCCTTCTGGGTAATAGCACAGTTACAGGACTGTTTTACTCGGCTCACTGCTCTCCCAGGGCTGGATTAACATCCTGCCTCTCTCTGAAAACCCACATCGTGCTGTCAGCCCCAACACCTGCTCCTCTTCATTTGCAAACTAATCTAGGAGCTCATCTGCTCATGGAGAGGAGAGGCAAGAGAACTCTAAACTCCACCATGCTTTAAATCCCACATTTTCGGGGTTCCCTTCCACAGCATGTTTTTGGAAAAGTAGAAAAGCTGAGCAATGGATCTGGGATCTGTATGACCACAGAAATCCACTGTGGATGGTGGGAAGATGCACTGCAATGGCCCAGACTTACCATGCTGGAGGAAGCTGCCCTGCTCAAACCTTTTATTATATCAGCTGAGTCCACGAGCTTTGCTCCTGCACTGGGAGTAAAAAGGCTGTAAACACAAAGACAACTGTGGAGATGCAAAGTTTGTCTTTAGGGGGCAAGGGTAGGCTGTGGATCCATCTGTGTGCTGAAGCAAAATGATTCTAATCTCTAGGCTCTAGGGCCTAGATATTGAGGCCTTCAAAGAGCATCAGAAAGTGGTTGTTAGTGGAGGGATGTTGAGCTTTTGTGGGTTGAGCTGAATCTATTCCATAGAAGAGAAAATACTCAGAAGCTAAATGGGACCTTTGGTACTATTTTATTTCTCCCTATCTTGTTCAGATTTAGAGCCATTACATTATAGGGGAGTAAAAAACTCTCAGATGAGAGCTGAGGATGCAAAGACATGGGATTGTGTTTTGCTTCAGCTCATAGGAGAACACTTCCTGTCCCTTTCTTTTCCCCACTGAGCCACCCTGGGTTTAAAGTCTTGTGATGTTCCACTAAAAACTATGGAGTTGATGATGAAAGACAATAGAGAAATTTGCTGTATTTCCTTCATGCTCTGACTGCCATATGCTTTGGACTGGAAGACTGTGAATGAATCAGAGTATTTTGTGGTGGAAGAGATGAACAAGAGAGAGATTAAAGGAGCTTTCAGCAGGCATGCAGGTGCAGTGCCCCTAAAACCCTACATAGAATCACAGCATGGTTTGGGTTGGGAGGGAACTTAAAAGTTCATCTCATTCCACCCCTTGCCATGGGCAGGGACACCTTCCACCAGCCCAGGTTGCTCCAAGCCCTGTCCAACCTGACCTGGAACACTTCAAGGGATGGGGCAGCCACAGCTTCTCTGGGCAACCTGTGCCAGGGCCTCCCATGTCAGCATTGGATTTAGAACAGAAATATTTCATCTTCCAAGCATTTTTATTGCATGGTTTCTCCTGCAGTGCCTAAACTCTTGTGTGTCTGTGCAATGCCCATGGTTTATGACCCTGAGAGGATGGGATTTGTCCCACCTGGCTGTTACCCAGCTCTCCAGGCACAGTCCGGGATCAGTGGGAGGAAAAAGGGGAGGACAGAGTGTCCTTGAGAGGGCAAATCATCCTTTTGTACCAGAACTGGGTTGAGTCATTTCAAAAGATGTCTGGATTTCTCCCTTGACTGTGGGGAACCTTGACAGCCAATTTAGACGAGCTGAGTAATATTTAGATGGCGAAAGTTGTGTGAGATTAATCCAGTGCTGGTGTCAAAATGAGATGGGGAGAAATTGCCATGATATTTCAAACGATCACTAATGGGAATTTTGACAGAAGTTTAAAATGGTGACAATTTTGTGCTAAAATGGGATCACAGTGCTTTTCACTGAAATTCTTGTCATTTTTGAAGTCTGTTTTAAGACCAATTTTCAGTCAAAGTACTCTTCATATAAATTTAGAGTTCTGCTAACTTGCGTACTGACTATAGTAAACAGGGAGAAATAAAATTATTTATACGTTTGTTAAAGCCTATTTCCATTTTTTGTGGTTCCTGAAGGCAGGTTTTTTTTTCCTGTTTCTCCCTCCATTTTTAAAGTTTCTTAGAGTCCATTTGTAGCACTTGGGGATATGATGTCTGATAAATTTAATGAAGAGTTGAGTGAACCTTTCATTTCAGTGTGACAAATACATGGTCACCTTGTCTAGGGTAGTCCAGTGAATAAAGTGCAGAATCAGAAATAAGTTTTAACCATTGGGAGAAGATATAATGAAGACATTTGTTGTTCTTTAAAAAGGCCTTTAAAGTCTGTAGGCAAAAACCCCTAAGATTTTTACTGCTAAGAGCATGATAATTTGCCTTAAAAAAAAAAAAAAAGAAAAAAAGAAGCCGAGTTCCAAAGTTTTTTGTGGAAAGAAGAGATTTACAAGGTAAGTTATTTTCTGAAGTTTTATCCAGACTCTGCTCCTAAACTTCTGAACAAGGTTAAAGACACCATTAAGATATCATTAATATTTTGTGCTTAGCATATACACAGATTTTTTTTTTTTCTGCTGCATTGTTCTCACTTGTAAGAGCAATAAATCTCCCTCAGGAACTAATCTCATTTTTGTAAAATATGCAATGAAATATTTTGAATTCTGTCCTCCCAAAGCAAAGTATTTCTCATTTGGTCCCAGAATGTGATTCGACCTGGATGTCTTCTTTTTTTTTTTTTTTTTTGATAAATAGCATTAATTTTCAGTGAGCATTTCTTCACCCTTTGTGGGTTTTCCATTATTTGGCTTAAAAAAACCCCAAACCAACAACACTTTTTTTGCACCTGTGGAACTTCTTTCCTTTATCCATAATTATCTGTGATTGTCTGAAGTGCCTAAAGCTTCTCACTCTGCTTCTCAGGTCTTCCCCACTCAGCTCCCTCCAGAGATATTCATCCTGCCTGGTTTAAGTTTCTGTCTAAAGAGTGGCTCAAAGAGCTGAAACTTAATTTTGGAGTTTGTCTGTGTTAAATGAAGAGAGGCAGGTCCTTCCTCGAGGGTTGTTCGGAGCACTTGAGCTGCACCCTGTGCAGAGACATTGTCTTGGTCCCACTTTAAAAAATCAACCTGGGATTCTTTTCACTTGTCACGAGGGGCATTTTTGGTCTCATTTTTAGTTGCAGTAAGCTGACAGTTCCATAACGTTGTTCTCTTGTGGCATCGAGTCAGTAAATGTTTCCCCTCCCCACCATCACCTCCAGGGTTTGTTTTCCTTTGCTGTTGTTCCCTGGGACTCTCAACAAGCTCCGTTTGCCGCCCTGAATTGCAAGTGGGAAATTGGCTGCGGGAGTTTTTTCTGTATTTCATCCAGATGTCCAGTTTAATCAGCTCTTTGTCTGTCTTTGTGAATTGCTCTAAGTATAAATTCTTTTGTTGTCTGTCTGAGCACATGATTTACTGCAGCTCCTCGTGCAGTTGCCTTGAGCGCAGGTAATTGGGAGCATCAGCGCTCTGAGAAATGTACCCACTTCCCTGTGTCTACAAAGGTGATATTTATTAATACAAATATAACAGAGCTTCTGATGGATTCACCTGCATAACCTTCTCCGAATGCAAATGTGGGATTTCATAAACACAGCAACGAGGTGTGTAAATCTCACCCAAAGAATGAACAGAGTGGGACCGTTCCTTTACACAACCGAATGAATATTTAATATATATCCAAGCCTTGGGTTCAGAGCTGCCCAAACATCTGTCTTCACAATTATTATCTGATTCTACATTTAATTAAGTCATGACAAAAACCCTTTTTGACTGAGTTGCTGCAGAATTACGCCTCGTATTTTTATGTTTCATTGCTATGGTTCCTTTTAATTGAATGTAAATCATGCCCGGGCCTGTATTTTGCAAAGTGCTGCTGAACATTAAAGCTTTGCTGTCAGAGCTACGGTCTATATAGCTGGTAGGGAGGAAATAAACTTAATGGACTCGATATTATACTTCTTTTAAAAAATCATTTAGAAATGAGCACAGCATGGCCAGCAGTGACCCCTGTAACCCAGGAGCCTTTGCCAAGCAACTGGCCCTTAGATAGCAGTTCTGCAATTAATTCCATGCCAGTGCTGGGATTGCCAGAGCAAATCACATCAGCAGCCTGGCTCAGGAGTATCTCCTGTGACAGAGCCCAGCACCAGCTGTTCCAGAGAAAGATCAAACTATTCCCTTGGTGGAAAATCATGACATAATCTGCCCGCTGGGGTAGTTCCTTCCTGCGTCTGAACGGCGGAGCGTGCTGGGAGATGAAAAGATTGATCTCTGCTGTTTTATTGCCTTATCTAAAGTAACTTTGAACCTCCTCGAAGAGATGAACATTTCTAATTTTGTTGTTTTTTTCAGCACTGCCTTGATGCCATTTTGCCGCTGTGAGTTCTGGGGGTTGCATAAAGGAACGTTGCTCTGATTTCCTTTCATATTTCCCTTCAGGTTTCTGGGTTGCCCCGTTTCTTGTTTGCAGGGTTTCGTTTGCCATTTTACCCTCCTTAATCTTCTGTACCTCTGTTGTGACCTATTTATTTTTATCCTGGTCCTGTCAGTTTTAGCTCTTGCCTCAGTTTCCATAGATCAGGTGAAGCCGGGGAGGTTGTAACTTCCTAGTGGGAAAATGGCTTTTGTAATGGAGATACACCCTGCAAAGATCTGTCCCAAGACTCCCAAACCAGGCAGCATTTGGGACCTGTCTCAAACCTCCATAAGGACTATGGTGACAGCAGCAAATTTAATGAACACAGAGCATGACTGACTTAAGGATGCAAACACTACGTCTTAAACACAAAATAAAGGGCTTTTAGGAACAGGGATACATGTGATGTTTTTTATTATTGTAAATATTGAATTACCCAATTACCAGGCACATAGTGGGATTCTTGGGGTTGTCCTGTGCAGGGCCAGGAGCCGGACTTTGATGATCCTTCCAACTTAGGACACTGTGTGTTTCTGTGATCCCCATTTGCAGGAACCAGCACACGAACCGCTCAGAAACTCCCGTTTATCGTTACTGTCACTTTTTTTTCCTTTTCCTTCTTTCAGATGATCACTCAAGAGTGAGATTGCAGCTGCTGGATGGGGACCCTCACTCTGACTACATCAATGCCAATTACATCGATGTAAGGCTCCTGGACATCCCCAGTGTGACAAACATTCCTGTGACAACTCTGCTCAGGAGTTTGGTGCCTCTGACACAGGGACAGACTGTTGATCTGCTCTGAGTGACAGCTGAACGTTACACAGACATCATGTTGTGACAGGGAGAAGGTTCTCAGTCTCCAGTTTATTTTGTCTGACCAATCTGGGCAGATGGAGATTTCCTGTGTTTGACAGATCCACCAACATAAGTGGAATGTGGGCTAAATGATGGATGCAGGAATCAGTGTCAGCCCCTCACAGTAGCATTAGTGGGTATCTGAGATTTGCCAACTACTTACAAAGTTGTAGTGCAGAAGGCACGTAAATAGACTGGCTTTTTTTTAGTGTTATAAAATAGCATTTGAAAACCAGCCTCCCTCTCACACCCAGTGATCAAATGAACATGCACTTCTTGTATGCAGCTCCTAAATCACAGGAACGTGAAGTGTTTCGAATAGTTTCTTTAAGGGATAAAAAACACACTTAGGCAGCACTTTCACACAGAGGCAAATTCATACCTTTATTCTTTTTCAAATGAGAAGATGCAGTGTTTTGCCTGTCAGCTTTCAGAGTTACCCACAGGTTAATCACAGGACTTGCATTTCTTTGAGGAAGTGCTTAAAAAATGCCCATTCCAATTTTCTCTTTGGCATAATGAAATCTTATTATTCAGCCTGAGCAAGATACCCTCACTTAAAATCTCGCAGGGAAACCTGGTTGCCCCTTTTTATTCATTCAGTAACCAGTTATACACTGTCAGAGTGCAGCAGTTGGTACCTGGAGAGTATCAAATCCATGCAGTGCTTTCCCTGAGCTGTGATCTCACAGGGATTTATGTATTTTCTTTTTTTCCAGGGGTACCACCGGCCTCGCCATTACATTGCAACTCAAGGCAAGTTCACTCTCGTATGTCTAAATAATTGTAAAACCACTGCTGTTTTAAATTGTTTGAGGAGCTATTTATAGGGTGACATCACCTGTTTTGGGGAACTTAGGACTATCCATGTTAGATTACAAACCTCCCTACTCCTGATCTTTACATCAGGGGGCTGTTTTCCTGCATCACTGGCCCAACTCTTATGCCATGACCACTTCCTCTACCATTATTTGTCCTCATTTTTGTGCATTCTTAACCCAAAGGTGATGTCCACAGAAATCCTGTTATTCCTCATTTCTGCTTTATGGGTTCATTGCTGGCTTGTCCCTATTGAAAGAGTAAAGAAAGATATTAGAATAAACCTGGTGTTTGAGGATGTATGGGGATAGGGAATGCAGGAAGGCAGAGAGTGTGGAGGATGGAGTATGAGCAGAGTGTGTGAATTGAGTCAGTAGAAGGATTTCACCTCCAGTGTAGAAAAGAGGAAGGAAAGAAGGTCAGAGAGAGGCTCTAGTCTGATAAACCTCTTGTCAGCACTGGCTCTTTGGCTGTTGGAACCTGAAAATTTTTCTGGGGAAACTTCAGAAAAGGACTAATTTCTGCATGTTTCCTTCCTCCTTCATAATTAATCAATATAAAGTGTGAAATGGCAGAATTTTAGTGGTGCATCAGGTGCAAATTTCTGTCCAGCCTCACTTACAGGTTCACTATAGGGTGCATCCCTGTCCCATCACTTACACACAATTACTGGAGCCATCTCCACTCTCTACAATCCCACCATCACCTCTGTTGCCACAATGCTGGAACCTGAAATACCCACTTAAATACCCTTAAATACCACTGTGAGAAAGGGTCTGAGCTCTTAGAGAGCTCCAGGCCATTCCTGTCTGTAACCCTGAATCACAGAGGGATGCTCTGAAAGGGAGAGCAGGATCCTGTGGGAACAGGACAGTGGCCAGAGAACATCTGGAAAGAACTGTTGGCATTCACTGCACTGCCTTGAGATGTCCTTTTGTCTTCTCTCCTGCCCCAGGGCCAATGCAAGAGACAGTGAAGGATTTCTGGAGGATGATTTGGCAAGAAAACTCTGCAAGTGTTGTCATGGTCACCAACCTGGTGGAAGTGGGCAGGGTAAGGTGCCACTTTCCCAGTGTGTAAAGCCAGACCTGCACTGGCTTTAACATGATGCTGCTGCTCAGTCAAGCTCAGCAACAAAATGCCTTTTGCTTCCTGTAGTAAGGACATTTAATTCAGCCACTCTGAGTTTTCCCTAAAACTCTGGAGTTTCTAATACTTAACTGCTTCCCTTCTAGACTAGTAAGGATCATGTTCCTGCTGTAAGTCTGGGCTTGGCAGAGTTACACAAATTTATGCAGGCTCAGAAGCTCTCTCCCTTTTCAGTACAGGAGGAAAAATGTACTTCTGTAATAATTACTCTTTTTCTAGTGATTTCAATACTTCTCTAAAAATCTGGATGAGTGAGGATGTGAGGCTGGTGCTCAAACTATCAAAGGACTTCTTTAAATGACAGTCCAAATCCTAAACCCCCACCAATTCTCTCTCAGGTGGACCAGAAGTCCTTGTGTCAGCACAAGGCAATTTCCAAAGCCCACAAAGGGAGCAAACATGGATAACTCAAAAGGTGGAGGCTTGCCTTTAGGAGATAAGAAGGCAGTATGTCTGGGGTGGCTTTCCCCAAAATATTCTTGCCTCTTTGGTTTAGAGACTTTCTCAGCCAGCAACTGGAGTTCTTAAAATTTTTGTCCTCATGTTTGACCCTTTCCATTGCTTTCGTACTAAGAAAAAAAAATTAAATTATAGTTTACTCACAGCCATTAGTAATTCAAATATGCTTTCCCTTAGATCTCATGGTTGAATGCCAGCTGCTTCTGTTCATTTATTGTTATTTATTACATTTTACCTTTTACTGACAGTTCAGTTTGAAATAAATGCCTCTGTGTAAAAAAAAAAAAACAACAAAACAAAACCCCACAACAAGCCTACATTAATCATATTTAATATTTATAAACCCCTTTCAATTATGACTGGAACTGGAACATGAAACCTGCTTTGCAACAGCTAATTGCTTCAGCTTTTAGGTGCTGTTCCACTCTTTCATGCTAGAGCATTTAATAACCTGATAGTCTTTGTTAGCCTAAATATCCCTTCTGGAGCTTCCCAGCCTTGGCTTTTATTTCTAGTGTGTTAGTTTTGCACATGGCTTTCAGAACTGGCTAAGCTGGGATATGTTTACCTGCTCAGGAGATTTCCTTCTTGAGCCTTAGCTGAGGCCTGTCACAGCTGGTAAAATGCCAAGTTTGTGTCCACATCTTATAGAAAAAGCTCAGAGCCAAACAAATTTAGTGTATCTACAAGTATCCCACAATCCCCATGAACCGAAATTCTTTGGCTAAACAGAGAGTTCAGAGTTACAGAGCAGGAGCACAGACTTTTCTCAGAGGGGGCAGTGGCAGTGACTGCCAGGTACATCTGATCTATGGGCAGGATATGTATGGAAATTCAAGGAAGACTTATCTAAAAAAGGAGCTAAATGCATCCTTTGCATTTTTATTGACAACAGAGCAAATTTAAAAAAAAAAAAATCCTCCCTGTGGCTTCTATATCTGGTAAAGGAATTTTGATCTGATTTATACAGTTAATTTTGACAAGGTCTGTGCATCAGAAGAAAGCTCGATTTGCGTTGGCTTCAGCTTGAAAGTGGAGGAAAATGTAGGTCAGCTGTGACTCAAGCTGAGCTCGTTCCTCTCAATATTGTCTTTTTTTCCCCCAGGTGAAGTGTGTTCGATACTGGCCAGATGACACGGAGGTCTATGGAGATATTAAAGTCACATTAATTGAGACAGAACCCTTGGCAGAGTACGTCATACGGACATTCACGGTCCAAAAGGTAAGGAAGTCTTCAGGCAGCTGAAATTTTGATGCAACACTTCATTTGTGTTCAGAAATGGGAACTCTGGGAAACATATCCAGAATGCTCCTGGAGATGGGAGCTGTGACTATTTGGACAGGTTTCACTTCAGAAAACTAAATTTTTTGACAGAGATTCCATTTTTGGACAAATGATTTTACAGGAACATCTTGATGGAGCCACAGAAGTAGAATCCACAGTGCATGAAGTTTAAATGCATCCAAAAGCCAGCAGATAGCTGATGATATGCCAGGAATAATAACTGTCTTGTTTCACAGTGGCAAATGGCAGATGAAAAAAGGTACCAGTTAAACTGGATGCCAGGTAGAGTCCCCTTTGAACAGAAATGAGAATGTAATAAAAGCAAGAGTATAAAAACTATCCCCAAATTGGCATGATTTGGGAGATTTTGTTACTTGTAATTAAAAATTGGAAGCCTAAGTGTCAGAGTATTCCAGGTCTGTCCAAATTACTTTCCAAACACTCAGTAAGTGGTTTTAAACCTTTTCCAAAACTCCTGCTAAATGAACTTCAGCCACGCTGGGAATATTGTTTCAGTTTTCTGATACATCAGCTCCATATTTCATTAAATCACTGAAGAAGTTGGTGAGAGGTGCTGATGCCAAAATCTGACAGGGTAGAGGACCTGCTGCTGGATTCCACCCACATTTCCTGTCTAAGACATCACAGTTGACCAACACTTCAGGGTTACCCTTAGCAGGGCATATACAAGAGGTGCCAGTTGTCACCTACCAAGAACTTCATCTCACCAGAAAAGCCAAGTGATGGGTGTGGGTACCAGTTTCTGCCCTTTTCCCTGCCAGTGGTATCTCCAACTGAGAATTTGTTGCAGAAAATCTACCATGTCTTGGGACATGCCCCCTCTCTGGGTCTTCATTCCTGAGGCTGTTGCTTCAATGCCTCAAACAGGGTTTAAGAGTGACTTCTGGGTGGTTTATAATGACACCAAGGGAGGTGGATAAACACAGCCACGGTGTGCTGGGGCTGAGGTCACCCTTGGACATGCCTGATGAGCTGGGTTTGAACTGGGAGCTGGTATCCACCTTCACAGTGCTCACTTCACTGGCGATCGGAGTTCAGCTCAAAACTTTTGGGAGCGAAAGGCAGGATCGGACACGTCCCTGTGTGCACTGAGAGCTCAGTGTTTGTTGTCCCTCTGTGTGAGGGAAGGGAGCAGGGGTCAGAATGTGCCGATTGCAGCCTGATGGAAGAAAAATAGAGGCTGTGTTGTCTCCTCAGAAAGGCTACCATGAGATCCGAGAGATTCGGCAGTTCCACTTCACCAGCTGGCCGGACCACGGCGTCCCCTGCTACGCCACGGGCCTGCTGGGCTTCGTGCGCCAGGTGAAGTTCCTCAACCCCCCCGAGGCAGGACCCATCGTGGTGCACTGCAGGTATGCCAGCCCTCCACCTGAGCCTCTCCTCCCGCAGCTCTTTCCATCTCTTTTCTTCCTGTCTGCCCATAACCAACTGCCCCTCCTTTGTCTGAGAGTATGATCTGTGGGTCTCGCCAGCAAACAAAGGGAAACGTGTTTTCCTTTCCCGAAGTGGCAGCTTTGGAGCCAAGCTGGCTGAGTTGGAGATGATGGAAGTAGGGCAGAGAGGGCCTTTTAAATGTAGAAGACCCCCTGGTGTCCTGTACTCTGTTAAGTGCTCATAGCAAAGCTGGGAAAGTGGTAAATATCTGGGACAGCCATTCCAGGCTCAACAGACCTCGTGTGGCAGAAGGGACAATGCCAACAAAAAGGGAATTTTAAAGCAGCTTTGCTTCTCTGTACCCACATGTGCTGCAGCTCAGCTTTGTACCAGCATCAAAGGTCTTCTCTGGTCTGGTAAAAGGTGTCCCTGCCCGCAGCAGGGGAGCTGGAACAACATGATCTTTAAGGTCCCTTCCAACACAAGCCATTCGATGATTTTGTGATCTGAAATATTAGTCTGGCTGCCAGCCCTTGGGCACCTTGGCTTTCTGAAAGCCCAGGAAGCTGGAATGGGAATGTCAGGCTAAAAACCTGCCCAGTGCCTTTCAGCTGGTAAATGAGAGGAGTTAAGTGACTTCAAATGCAAGGGAAGACATTGCTATGAAACCAGAGTTTGGGTTTGTAGCAGCAGTTATGTCTGCAGGGCACAGGGCATGTGTGATCTAAAGAAGACATGGCTGGAGTACAAGCCTGAAGAGCAGGGCTGGCTGTCCCAAAATCTCACCCCTAATCAATCCACAGGGAATTACCACTAATTCCCACACTGTGGCTTGAGAGAGCACATCCCACGACTATTTTAAAAAGGAAAATCAATTAAATCTTATCTTTTTAAAACAGTTGTGGTTTGGGTGGGTGTTTTATTTGGTTGGAGTGTTTTTTTTAGCAAGCAATTAATCAGTTTTATAACCAAATAGAGCTAAGCCTGAGGAGCTGGCAGAAGGGACTCATTTAGAGCTCGGGGTCTGAGTTTGCTACCCTGGTGCCATGACATGCCTTGGAAGGTGTTTCAACCTGATTCATTGTCACCAAGAAAGCAAGGAGAGATTTTTCACCCTTCCCATTTTAATGAATAAAAACCATTTCCTCTGTGTTATTTATCTGCTTTTGAATTTTAATGACTTGCTTTAAGTGGTAATTACCAAATTCTCCCCACCGATGCCTGGCTGGATAATATCACTGTTCGATATTTATGAAGTGCCAGGATCCTCTAAATATAGAAATGTTATAACTATTTGTTAAATTTCTGAAAAGCTGAGAGATAAAGGGAGAGGAAATGCCACTTATTCATTAAAATTCTGCAAATGAAAAATATCGTCTCTCTATTCAGCTGTTGATTAATCTGGTCCATTAATTTATGGTCATTCATATCTCCTTGCTTTTGGCTCTGCTGGAGTTTTCAGGCAGCTGAAGTTTCCCTGATTTGAGCAGAGTTTTCCTCCTTCCTTGGGAGCAACGTGAAGAGGCGTTCTCCTCTCTCTATCCTTCACACCTAAGCAGCTTGGATGATTTCCCGGGAGGGAAGGAGGACACGATGACAACACAGTGTTGCAGGAGATGGCCCAGTTCTCACGAGCAGCAGGGAGCTCTGAACTGGAGGGTTTGAGTAGCCTTGAGCTCCTTTCTCTGTGATTTTACAATCTGTGGCTTGAGATCACCCTCCTCAGGACCCAAACTCCTCCGGATTAAAAAGGGAAAGGGAGTGTTTGAGGTGGAAGAGTGAGCCCCTTTCATCATGCCCACTGGAGTAAAGGTGTGCATGCCTTTTAAGGAGTCCCATAGAAGAAAATCTCTGGGATTGTGTCTCTTTGCAACCCGGAGGCTGCTCTCCCACATCCTGTGTGGTGAGAGGGGTGCAAGTGAACAGACCTGTGAAATCGTAATGACTATTTACACAATTTTTTGTTGCTGTTGAATAACACAAAGCTTTTCTTTCTGCTGCCTAGGTCCATTTCCCTTTCAACAAACTTTATTTCACCTCATTCTCTTGAATCCCAAGCTGATTTAGCTACACAGAAAAATGAACCCAGCAGGGAGCGGGAGCAGCTCCCAGGAGAAGACAGCAGTGTGTGTGCTGCTGTTATCTTCTCCTCCACAGAGTCCTGCCTCTCCATGCTCCCTGGGTCACCCAGAGCCTCCTGGTTTTCTCTTTTCCAGTGCTGGGGCAGGGAGAACAGGCTGCTTTATTGCCATTGACATCATGCTCGACATGGCAGAGAACGAGGGCGTGGTGGACATTTTTAACTGCGTGCGGGAGCTGCGGTCCCAGAGGGTCAACTTGGTGCAGACAGAGGTGGGTGCCAGCAGCTCTCCCTTTCCAAGGTGCTGCTTTTCTGTCGGCTTCTCCGCTCAACAGCCACCCAGCAATTCATTAAGTCAACACTTGCTCTGTGCTGTGATTATGCAGAACTTTCAGAGGCTGAACATGCCCCCAGATGTGCATCGAATCACGTTCACTGGCAGCTACTCGGGGCCTCCCAGACAGGAGGGCAAACCTTCAAAGTTTAGGTCTGTGCATTGCTGATTAATTTTATTCTCATAGTAGGAAAAAAGAGCTCCTGAATCCTCTCATGACTCATTCATAGGCACACTGCAGGCTCCAGTAGTACCTCGTGTACATCAGTTGGAGCTAAACAAAGAAAACATCCTTGATTCCAGCTCTGGGTGCTGATTAAGCAAGCTCTGCTCCATCGTGTAGTGTCTGGCAGCTGCACAGATCCTGTGGAACTGTGCTCCTGCTGCACAAGTTTTATGTGTGTCCTTTAATGCCTTCCCCTCCTGAGGGACAGGACAATAGCCTGGAATGGAGAAGGGCTGTTAACTTGGTTGGAATTTCCGTATTTACTTCAGGGCAAGAGCTTTACCCAGAATACCAAGAGTCCAGGATTCTGAAGACATGAATGGAGGTGACCTGTTAGGACAGTTGTTTTTGTACTGTTGTGCCAGGGGAGGTTTAGATGGAAAATTAGGGAAAATTGCTTCACCAAAGGACTGTCAAGCCCTGGAACAGGCTGTCCAGGGACAGATGTGGTGGAGTCCCCATCCCTGGAGGGCTTTAACAGACATGTCGATGTGGTACTTGGGGACATGATTTAGTGGTGGGCTTGCCAGTGCTGGGTGATGGTTGGACTTGATGACCTTGGAGGTCTTTTCCAACCTAAACAATTCTGTGATTCTCTGATGTTATCAGAAGCCCATTCCTGACCATTGCCTCACAATTATGAACAGAAAGGCTTTACACCCTGATTTCCTCCTCAGCCCACCCCCATTTTGTCCTGACGTTCCTGAGAGTGGCAACTTCCCATTTTACTTGTAAATTTGAAGTGAATACATGAGACCTCACATCCAGTGATGGATGAAATATGCTCACAAAGCTGTCACATAGCACACTGTGTAATTTGTCTCCACGTGAAACAGAGCCAAATATGCATATTGGGCATGATTTAAGGGGGGAAAAGAGTGTGATGTTTCATGATCCGTATTCTAAATATGATTTTAACGTCTCATCCCCTCTCCTGTGCAGGAGCAGTATGTGTTTGTCCATGATGCCATTTTGGAGGCATGTCTCTGTGGCAACACGGCCATTCCAGTTTGTGAGTTCAGATCCATCTATTACAACATCAGCAGGCTGGATCCACAGACCAATTCCAGCCAGATAAAAGATGAGTTTCAGGTAATTTGATATGTCACTGCAGTTGGTGTATAGAAGGTGTTTAATCAGTTTCTGTGTGTTATTTTACAATTTCCAGCAGAGCAGAGGAGGGGGACACTGAGCCAAGGTCTGATTTCAGATGATTTTTGTTATTACTCCTGGATCAGGCAGAGGTTTGCTTTTGAGCATGGATTTTTCAGCCTTTGGGAAGGAAAACAATTTCCCTGTTACTTCAGTAGAGCAAGGGTACTGATTCTCACACATAATGTTGTACTTCTCATTTCAGCAAATACTCTGTTGTTCATTTTCTTCCATAATTTATGCAGAAACATTTATGCCTCAAGGTAGCTTATTATCCATTCTTTTGGCTCATACACTGCTCCCAAGTCTTGACAATCAACTTGTTGACAACCTTCCACACAGAGGAGAGAGGGAGCTCAGTGAGCATTATTTTGGCTGTTATTAGTTCTCAATGAACTGAATCTCTCAGTTCACTGCAGGTGTTTTGCCAAGTACCTGGTGATGAGACCCAAAATGATGTACAGGAAAACTCACAAGTGCTGAATTAGTGGGGGCAAGCAAGGAAATGGGGACCCCTCCACTGTTTGCTGTCACTGTTGCTTATCCCACCCTGATAAATTGAGACACTCAAGCCATGAGCCCTGTGCAGTTGTACCTCTCACACAGTGGGGAACTGACCCTGCAGAACACTGAATTAAGTTTTCCAGCCTTTTTCCCCATCCCTGTGAGGGTGGTGAGGCCCTGGCATAGGTTGAACCAAGAAGTTGTGGATGTTCCATCCCTGGAAGCGTTTAAAGCCAGACTAGATGGGGCTTGGAGCAACCTGGTCTAGTGGAAGGTGTCCCTGCTCATGACTTTAAGATGATCCAATCCAAACCATTCTGAGATTTTATGATTTTCTGCAAACACCAATATATGGAAAAAAAATTGTGGGAAATATTTATGGGAAATTTTTGGGCAAAATTTGTGAGAAAGATTTTGGGAAATTTGGGTCAAGGTGAATTTGACAGTAAGGAGAGAGACCTCTACTGTTTGTTAAAGCCACTTGTAGTCAGCCATAAAAAGATGAAGATTTCTTTCATTGTAGTAAATTCCCACCCCCTTTCCCAGGAAAGTATCTTTTCTAGCAAGAGAATGTCTTCTGGGAGCCCCAAAGTGAGTCAGAGGCCTCTTTTCCTCCCTCTCTATGCAGGGGGAGAATATGTGTTTTTTATCTGAAGCCTTGCAGGGAATCATCAGGGTTGGTGTAGTGAGATAAAGAAAGCGGATCCCAACTGATGACAGTTCAATTAAAAAAAGGTCTGGTTTTATCAAGGCACAGCAGATCTATAAAAGTGTTTCTGGTTCTGAATGCTTGGCATGAAGGAGCCGAAGCCGAACTTCATCAAAAGCTGTTACGCCACTGGAAAAAAAAATAGTCCTCACTTGCTGGGTGTATTTTGTCATGATATGAGACAAGATTTGTCACCTCTGCGCTTGTTCTTTTGAGCTGCCAGGGACTGGCAGCTCCTGTGGGAAGGAAATGCTCTTTGCAAATGTACTTTGCATAAGAGGTTCGGTGTCTGTCTGGTTGTAGGATCTATTTTTACAGGATTTTGGCTCAGAGCATGCTTCAGCCCTAATTGTCTGGGTTTAATGCAGAAGCTGGGTATCTTTGCTGCAATCTCTGTGAACCAGCTGATCTAACTGCAGGTCTGGGGATGCAGTTTGTATTGTTTAGGTCCCACTGGCCCTCAGGTAAGGCAGGATGTGTTTCTCATGCACTACATGTTGTCCGAACACACAAAAGCATGTTCTGGAGAGTTTTTGTAATCTGAGTCAGTACAGAAACAAGGGAGAGAGGGGAAGGGTGTAAAATAGACACTCTAACAAGTCCACCTGCCTGATTATCTGCATTGTCAGAGATCTGAGATTTCATGCTTTTTCCCCATCCAACCTGCCTTCCACCTCCAGACAAAGGCCTTTCTGTAGAACCTGCAGAATTTATAGCACCTAGATAATTTCAAATCTTACACTTTGACACGTTTTTTATCTCTGATTGTTTGTCCCTCCTCTTTTCTCCACCCATAACCTCTCTGTAGCAGAAGTCAAGCCCTTTGTAAGATTTTTTTTTGGCCCCTAAATATTTTTCGTTCCTCTGGTTGCAAAGAGTTCACTGTATTACTCCATGGGCTTTGCTCAGGAAGAGAACACATAACAAAAGAAAGTAGAATGACATCAGATAGCCACTGATCTACCACCACTTATATGCTGGTGTTAAGATGTGTTTGCTTTGATTTGCTGTTTTTGATCCCTGCTGACCAACCTGGACTGGTTTGTCAGGAGGCCTCCACAACAGAAAACACAAAAGAAAAATATATTTAAAGAAATACAGTTTGTCAAGCTGCAGAAAAGACAGATAACAGAAAAAGACTTGACAGCAAGACCCCAGAGATTAGGTATGACTGTGTAAGTGAAGCATCCTCTGTGTCACTCCAAAAGGAAAGTAGCAATCTAAATAATGTATGAAACAAATAGGCTTTCCTGTTAAAAAGAAGGAAAAATATATTTTCTCTTAGATTTTTGTGTGCATTGCTAAGGTAAATCAGTAGTTTGACTGAGGAATCACGGGAGGATTTGAACCCAGTCTGACCTGCTGGGTGAGTCAATACTCAGGGTACACCTGCACAGGACCCTCTTGCAGAGGGAGAAGGATGAGAGCTTCCAGCCCAGGGATGGGAGAAACAGGAGGAGTGAGGAGCTCAAAGCTGCGGCTTGCCCCTGTGACAGCTATTTCCAGCTTCTAGGAAAGAAAAGGAATATTGTCTGACTGCTCTGGGGTTTTAGAGCTGGAAATGGTTGGGGGGGTGTGATTCAAATGTGCAAAAGCAACAACCTCCTCGGCGCTCCTTCGTTTTCCTTCTCTGGGATCCCAAAATCTGCGAGCGGAAGTGCATTTAAAATAATCATATTTTGCATGAGGCATTGTTGCCTAAAAGACCGTGGAGAACAAGACTCCAGGCCAATTTAGTGTAGGAGATAAGATAAAGAGAGCAGGTCCTTTAATGAGTTCATAGGCCTAAAGGAATACACACCATGCACCCGCTCAGACAGTGGTTCTGATTTTATAATAAGGTCCATCCAATCCCAATTTGTCCACCCCCCCCGTTCTGCCCTGTTCTGACCTCCAACCCCTTCAGGAATTGAGTCTGGGGGCATTTGAGACCCCTTCTTCCTCATATTCATCTTCTTCACAGCACATACAGTCTTTGGAGTTCCTCCAAAGTTCTGGACTTGAAGGTCGCTGTGTCTGTGTGATATCTTCTGGTCCAGGCCTTAAGGTGTTTTTCTACAATTCTACCTTGAAAAGAAGACTAAACATGCTAAGGGAATTCTGAGGGATTGATATGAGATGGGGTAGTAGGGTTGGGTATTTGTAACCATTATGCTCCAGGGTAAGGGCTATAATACAGCTACATTAAAATCTACTTCTAAAATCTGTAAAAATTAAAAATCAAAAAAGCTCTGAGGCACCACATCCTTCTTGGGAGCAAATGCCAAGGCACTCAGCCTGTTTCTGTCTCTCTCCCTGTCCCCCCTCTCCCCTGGGCCCTGGCACAGACCCTGAACATCGTGACGCCGCGGGTGCGGCCGGAGGATTGCAGCATCGGGCTCCTGCCCCGCAACCACGACAAGAACCGCTGCATGGACGTGCTGCCCCTGGACCGCTGCCTGCCCTTCCTCATCTCCGTGGATGGCGAGTCCAGCAACTACATCAATGCTGCCCTCATGGATGTAAGAACCGCCCCGGGCCCGCCGGGCTCGGCCTTTTGTTACTTCTCAGGATGATTTTCTGGGGGAAAGGGGTGGGAATCAAAAAAACTTATTTACCTCTGATTTCTGGTCTTGCCTGCAGGAGCTGAGGAAAGAAAGCTCCAGAGCAGTTTAATTGAGGATGAGATAAGAAAAGGGTTTAATTTGTGCCTAGGCACAAAGATTACATGACGCGCCCCGGCCGTGTACAGGTGTTACGATTTATAATATTGTCTGCCCAATCCCAAGTGTTTCCACCCCATAACTTTTACCCTGGGCCACCCCCATCCCACCCCCTTGCAATTGGGGCTGGGGGATTTTCAAGACCACTTCTTCATCATCTTCATCTTCTTCAGAGCACAAAGGGTACACGGTCACCCAGTTTCTTGACTGTACTTTTGCAGTTCAGGCCAAGGCACAAGTGTTCTTAAACAAAAGGGCCTGCTCTTAAAGTGAGACTAAACATTTTCTACTGGAATTCAGGGGATATTGATATGGGAGCATGGAATGGGTTATGTAGGGGTTGAGGAATGTGTAAACTACCGTGCTAAAGGGTAAAGGAATAAGGGCTGCTGCTTCTAAAATCTACTTCTACTATATAACTACTTATAAAGCTTATAAAAATTAGAAAAACCAAAAAACTAGAAGAATCTTAAGGCATCACTGTGTCTCCAAACGTGAATTTCCTCTTCTTCCCAGAAATGGAAGTATTTAGGAAGAGGCTGGATGTGGTGCCATGGTCTAGTAGACGAGGTGGTGTTGGGTCAAAGGTTGGACTCAGTGATCTCAGAGGTCTTCTCCAACCTGGTTCATTCTGTGGTTCTGTATAATCTAGACTGTGATTATCACACACACTCATTCTTCATCACACTGGTAGAAATTTTTTTGCAAAGGAGCTCCTGGGCTTGCAGTCTGAGGTTGGATCATAGAGAGACACAAAGAAGTGGTGGCACAGCTCTTCCCATACACTGGGTTTTGCATATGTTGGGAAGAGAAGTGTTTGCCAGCTCAGCTCTTTGGAAAGAATAATTTGCAGTGTGGAGCAAGTGATTGATTAGAGCTCGTGCAGTTCAGAACGTGGGACTGCAGGGATCAGATGTGGAAAATATTTTCAGGCTGAAGGACATGAGTTGAGCTGATGTGACTCTGTCTGAAGGCATTTTCCCTTGCTTTGTTTATGGGCTCAAATCTCCCAGCACAGGTCAGCTGTGGAGGGTGAATTATGTTGATGGTTTCTTTTTGCTGTGGTGCCTTTGGACAGAGATGTCTTTAAAGCCACTAATTATTGCAGTTGGAGTATGGGTAAATATGATCCAGGGTGAAATGTCATCATTTTTTCCTCAGCAACGTCAGGATCAGTCTTTTTTAATTTTGTCTGGTCTTCAGTCTTTGGGAAACAGTGATGCTACTGCATTTAGGAAGTTTAGTCAAATGGTCACAGAATTTATTTTAGATTTTTTCAGAAAGACTGTGATATTTTCATTACAAACATGCCTAAGGAAACTTTTTTTTTTTAAAGTGTGTTTTGTGCTTTTGCAACTCTGAAGAAGCACAATCTATTCTTCTCTGGTTTCTTAGGGACTGGGAATGTTAGCACATTTCAGCCCTCATTACTTCCAATCACTTTGCTAATATTTGTATCCTTCCCCACAAAATTTGTATGAATTTATTTTTTTTTTTAGTACAAAGGAATTTTTCACCTGTCATAGAAATTCAGCCACCATAATCTTCTCTGGGTCTCCTTTATCCTTCCAAAGAGGAATCAGCAAATTTTTGGGAAAATAATAATCAGAGGGGAACAGCCGAAATCCCACATTTTCATAGCTGTTCCTGTTGAGGACAGACCTTGCAAATTCTTTTTTTTCCCAGTAGCTTCATGTCTGAAGTCTTGGACTGAGCATGAACTCTTAGAGGAGACCATCCATCCCATATTGCCTTGAACCATTGTCAGTTCTGTCATTGTGTGAGGACAGGCACGTGCTGGGGAACTCCTGACAGCACAGTCCCAGTGCTGATTATTTTATTTACAGATTTCTCTTGTTCATTTCTGGTTTTAAACTTCTTCCCAAATCTTGTTTGATTTGCTTGGTGTATTACGTGAAAGCTGTGATGGAAGAAGTGGTGGAGCAGGAAGGGGAATGGTACACCTGGGATGGGTTGCAGCCTGTGTTTGGAGGCATGAATGTCTCAGGGAGGCCATCTGTCAGCCAAAATTAACCTTAGGCACAGAGAGCCATTTGAACCTTCCCTCAGGGCGTGAAGCCCTGGGCTCGTGCTACAACTGAGCTGGGACTGTCTCAGGCAGAGTATTCAAAACCAGCCTCTTCTGCCTTGAGTTAGCTTTTGGGAATACAGCCAAAGGGCTCCTGCTGCCCACAGAGGGCAGGAATTCTCCCCCAGCAGATTTAGAGACTCCTCACCTTTCCTCTTCACGTCCTCTGTCCCTTTCCAGTGAACAGACCTTAGGATCTTTCCTGTGAGAATCACTGGAAAGCCAGGTTTGCATCTGCAAAATGGTATGTTAAGAAAAAAGGAGAAATACTGTCCCTCACCTTCCCCTAAAACAAGCTGGGGCAAAGTGTGCACTGCACCTTCTCCCCCTCCCAGAACGGTCTGCTCAGCACTTCCACCCACATCTGACTCACATGGAGGAGGAAAGGCAACCCCCCCCACAATGGCCAGCTTAATACTTTAGGATTTTACTTGTTCCTTTGCTATAAGTCCAAAATTTTTTATTCTGTGGGCTTTTTGTTTTGTTTTGTTTTCATTTTTCTGCAGAATTAGTGCTCCTTTTGATTGAACTGTGCTTCACAGACGTACAGCACGAAGGCCTGTGCAGTTTCTGGGCTCATTTACACATTGCCTGCCGTGGTTGGAAGGCAATAAAGTTTTCAGCTTGTTCTTTTTCATCTCAGGGAGCCTCACAAACATTCATTAACATGGCCCCACAGAGGTCAGGAGCACAGTCCCACCCCTCTGTGCTTAGGGAGACTGAGGTCAGGGGACCCTTTTGAGGGGAAAGAATAGCATCAGAAATGAAATGCCATTGTCACAGGCTCTGAATATTGTCCCACAAGCTCACAAAGGATGGCTGGGATCCAAATGTGCCACCTCTGTCACACTCCATCCCCAGGCAGCAATAACAGACAGGGCTAATCCCTTCTGGAGTTCCTCGAGGCCACTGCAGCAGAAAGGGAGATCATTTGCTTCCAGCTGTTTTCTTTCCAATTATTAATATTTCTGATAGTAGTAGTAGTAGTAGTAATAGTAGAATTAATATTATTTGCTGAGTCTCAAAATATAAATAATTGATTTGGGTAATCTCTGCTCTTGTGACACTTCTTTAATGAAATGTCTTCATTGGGAGCAAAAGAATCCCATTATGAGCCGCTCATTCATTGCAGTGAGATAACAAGGAGAGGGATATGTGATTTGTATAATCTGGTTAAATGGCTCAGATTGCCTTGCCAGAGCCTCCTGGGCATAATATTCCTTTGAATAAAAGTTGATTGAATTTTTTTTTTTTTTAACTAATCTTGTTCTTTTGTTAGAGCCACAAGCAACCTGCTGCCTTTATTGTGACCCAGCACCCTCTGCCCAACACCATCGCAGACTTCTGGAGGCTGGTGTTTGATTACAACTGCTCCTCTGTGGTGATGCTGAATGAGATGGATGCAGCACAGGTGGGTGATTCTTCATCATGTCCATCATGTAACTCCCTTCTCAAATCCAGGTGGTTGTCAGAGAGTTTCTGCTGCCATTTTCTGGTGCCCTGTCTCCCCACCCCAATAAAGGAGGGGGAGCTGGAAAGTAATAGGTGATGTTTTGGGGTGTAATGAAGAGTAAGTCCACATGCCTGGCTCCTTCTAAGGCAGCTGATTGTTACTGCATTTAACAAGGATCACAGAATCATAGAAGGGTTTGGGTTGGAAGGGACCTTAAAGACCATCTCATCCCACCCCCTGCCATGGGCAGGGACACCTCCCACTAGCCCAGGTTGCTCCAAGCCCCGTCCAACCTGGCCTTGGACACTTCCAGGGATCCAGGGGCAGCCACAGCTTCTCTGGGCAACCTGTGCCAGGGCCTCCCCACCCTCACAGGGCACGATTTCTTCCTAATATCTAACCTAAACCTACTCTTTATCAGCTTGAAGCCATTCCTCCTTGTCCTATCACTCCATAGCCTTCTGAAAAGTCTCTCTCCAGCATTCTTGTAAGCTCCTTTTGCATACTTAAAGGCTGCTATAAGGTCTCCCTAAAGCCTTGTCTTCTCCAAACTCAAAGATATATAAATATATATTAGATAAACACTTTCATATACATGTATAAAAAGTTTCATATATATAAAAGTATATTAAAAATTTATATATTTAAAAGTATAAGAAAGTTTTATGTAAGTATTTTATATATTACATAAATACTTTGTGGGTTTGGGCTGAAATTTTCCTCCCAAACTCACTTCCTTCCCTTTTCTGTTCCCTTTCATATTTTTGTCTGTCTTTGGTTCAGAAAAATGTTCCCTGCCACATTCCCAGTGTGCTTCATGCTTGCCCATTCCCATGGCATTTCCAGGAGAATGAACCCAAGAGAGCTGAAATAATTTGAAGGATCCTTCCCCTGAGATTTCCAGTGCAATTCTGTAATACTGAGAAGTGTGTTTTGCACAGGTTCTCCAGAAGATCACAGTGCTTTGTATTTTTATTTTTTCCTTTTAATTCCATGCTTAAGTTGGTTTTTGGCTGCTAAGCACACCATCATTTTCAGGATTGGAGCCTGCTGGGGAGGAGCCGCTGCCATTCCTCCTGTGCTGGTGTCTCCAGCCACCTTGCCAGTGAGTGGCAGAAGATAACAGCTTTCAGAAAGGCATAATCATGCAATTTGTGTGAAGAGTACATTTGGCATGGCTAATTCACCCATTACAGCACTTGTTACAGGAGAGGAGAGGAACCCTCAAGTAGCTGGCACTTCATGGATTAATTTTTGATTTGTCTCTTCTCTGTCTTACCACACTTGAAGGCAGCAAAATTATTGGTCTCTTTTTTTTGATGGTGGTGGAGAAACCAATCCCCCCATTCCTGGAGGGGATCTCCCATCGGAGTGGGTGCTGTGGGATTCCATTCCCAGCCACGGGGAGAGCTCTGCTCAGCAGTGGGTTCTCTTGGTGACCTCCAGAGTCCTACCACCCTGTGATCTACCACCCTGTGATCTACCACCTTGAGATCCTCTGCATTTACTGCCTCCTCTCCAGTCTACCCTCCTTGATTCTGCATCTTGGCATTGAATCCAGAGGCAAATTTCATCTTTTTCTTTTTTTCCCTGACACTTCAAAGGAAAACACAGCTTTTTCTGGAAATGACACGCTTTCTCAGACTGGTTTCTTGGAAAACACAAACCTATCAGCCTCAGCCAGTGCTGTTCCTGTGACTATCTTTCTGCACAAGGCTTTTTCTTGCTTTGTTTTTTGCTAGCAAAGTTTTGTTTTTCTGATGTACCCTGTAGGCACAGAAAGGGGGATTTGGCAGTGCAGAAAAGTCACTTTGACAGTTCCTGTGGCACAGGGTCAGCAGCTGGAGACTGCAGCCAGTGCTGGAACACCCAGGTGGCACTGGTGGGAGTTAAGGATGACTTTAAAGTTTGTATTTTATGAGCTATCAGGGCAAGGTGTGACAGTTTGATGTCATGGAATCATTTAAGGTGGAAAAGACCTCTGAGACCATTGAGTCCAACTGTTCCCCCAGCACTGCCAAGGCCACCACTAAACCATGTCCCCAAGGGCCACATCTACACAGCTTTTAAATCTCTCCAGGGATGGGGACTCTATCACTGCCCTGGGCAGCCTGTTCCAATGTTTAAACACCCTTTCTGTGAAGAAATGTTCCCAATATCCAATCTAACCCTCCCCTGGCACACCTTGAGGCCGTTCCCTCTCCTCCTGTCCCTTGTTCCCTGGGAGCAGAGCCTGACCCCTCCAGCTCCCCCCTCCTGTCAGGGAGTTGCAGAGCCAGAAGGTCCCCCCTGAGCCTCCTTTTCTCCTGGCTGAACCCCCCCCAGCTCCCTCAGCTGCTCCTGGTGCTCCAGCCCCTTCCCCAGCTCCATTCCCTTCCCTGGACACTCTCCAGCCCCTCAATGTCTTCCATGGGGTGTGGCCATTCACAGACCTGCTCTAGGAAAAGCAGATTTTTAATATTAAGGAAATGTTTAATCTTTTTCTGCTTTCTGCTGCACCTTGAGGTTGTTTCCTGGAGCTCCTGCTCAGCTCACATCTCCTGCCTATTGGACAGATGCTTTGAGAGGAGATCACTAAGCAGCTTGAAAGTCTGAATGAAGAGTAAAGACACCCTTCAAAGGACTTGCTTGTGTGGTCTTGGTTGGCTTGCTTAATCTTGAAAAACTAACAAGGGCAAAGATGCCTAAGATTGTGTGAATATCCCACCCAATTTCAATCCTGTATGATCAAAGGAGTGCAGAATTAATGCAGTAGCATTCACACACTTGACGTTGTTTCTGGCAGTGATTGAACTTGAAAAAGCTCGAGATCAAGTTCAAATGAGCATCTGGGGGTTTCAAAACTTCTGAAAAATTACACTTAAAAATAGAAAGAAAGGAAAACAGAAAGAAACACAATCTCAGCAGAAACTGCTAATGAGATCTCATGCAAAATATTTTTTCCCCATAATCTATTTCCAGATGGATTTTGAATACTTACATTGTAATTTGTGTGCACAGGATCTTTTTTGTCCTTTCAGTTCTGTAATATCAGCACAAGGAAAAGACTTCCAACCTGCTTCACAAACTTCAGAGATTCACCCTGAAACCAGAGCTGCTCTTCTTGCTCTCAGGACAAACTAATTCTCCCTGCCCTGCTCACTGGTAGAGTCACAAAGCTAAAAAGTTCATCTCACAGAAAAAAGAAACTCCAGTTTGTTTGAATTAAGATTAATATTCATGGTGCCTGTACTGTTTCCTCATTAACACCAAACCTCTGTGCTTCTTATTAAATTTATCTACAGACACTAATCTTTTAGTGTTCATTTTAAATCTCTACCCCTACAGAAGCTTCATTTGTCAGCCACCTTTTCTTCACCTTTAGACTCCAGAATTCAATCAGTTCCAAATTGTGTTCATACAAAAATAAAGGGGAAAAAAGTCAAGTTTCTAAAATACACTTTTTTAATATATTCATGGGATGAAAAGTTTTTACAGCTAGAATGAGGTCTCCTGTGAACAAAGACATGTAATACAAGATTGGCGCTGGATTTTGAGCTGGTTGTAAATCAAAGAAAAAAAAAGACTGAATGTGCATTTCCTTGTTAATAATTAAGATGCTTTCTGTTTCTTGTCCTGTTCTCTGCAGCTCTGCATGCAGTACTGGCCAGAGAAGACATCCTGTTGTTATGGCCCCATTCAGGTGGAGTTTGTCTCAGCAGACATTGATGAAGACATCATCAACAGGATATTCCGGATCTGCAACATGGCCAGGGTAAGATCCCTGAAACACCACATTCCCCAATTATTCTCAAAAATGTATTTTGGCAGGAGGAAGAGGCAGAGGTTTAAACTTGTGGTTTAGAGATGCTGAATCTCTCACCTAGGAACGAAATTCCACTGCAGCTGCTTCCTTTAATTAACATTTAATCAGTCTGTATTGCTAAAGGACTCTTGGCTGAAAGTAGAAAGTGGATGATATGAGCTGAAAATCTGTATTTAAATGGTGAGCATTTTTCTGTGTGTATTTGAGAACAATTCATCACTTAGCAGCCAATATAGAAGCATCAGTATTGTAGGAAATAAAGTGAGGTAGTGTCAGCAGCTCTCCATCTGTCAGCTACTCAGCAGCGGCTCTGAAGACAGATGCAATGTTTACTGGCTAGACTGGGATTCCCAATTGCCACTGTCTTTCCTATAAATAAGCAACTGCCATTTCTGTAAGCAACTCTTTGTCTGGATCCCTCAGCCCCAGGACTGCTGAAATGATAGAAACAAAGTTTATCTGTGTACTGGGCCCTGGCAATCCAACTTCAGGGCTGCAGTGCAGGATTTTTCTCTCATTAGTTGTTTTCCCAGATTGATTATGTTTCCTTTGTTGTTCCTTCTTCATTTTTTTCTAGTCAGAAATGGAAGCAGGCTCCACAAATTACATTTCCAAGCAGTTTAACACAGTGGTGTCTATGTGTTCAGAGCCTGTGCAGCAGTTCAACAGTGGCACTGAAGAGGGAATCTCGTGTCCAGCTACACAAATTGATTAATCAGTTAGCTATTAGACATTGTCCTGTATCCCAAGCCAATTCCCTCTGAACCAGGGAGAGCCTTGGAGTAATAAAGGTGGTCAGACTGAGGCTCTGTGACTCTCAGGACAAAGCAGGTCCATGCCATGGCTGGCAGGGTGGGTGCTGTGAACTCACAGCCCTCTGCACCCATCTGTGTTCAGCACCACTGGCCACTGCCAACATCTCTGTGAGGATCCTTTCCCTCCACAGTGCCCAGAGAATTTCTGAGGGCTACCTTTACTTCTTATGGCACAACTTACTTTCAGCATAGGAGAGAGACATTTGGTCTATTTAATCTGTTCATACAGTCTGATGAAACTTTATTCTGGAAACCAAACAAGGGATCCTAGATCCTGCCTGGCTCTGTAATATCTGAAGTCATATTTTTTATCCAGAGTATGGAAAAGTCCTTGTTTCCACAGTGTGTCAGGTACCCAGGGTGAAGGATGTTAACAGTGGTGATAGGAGCTCCAGAGGGGAAGATGACAGAAGCACAGAAACACAGAATTTACTAGGCTGGAAAAGACCTCAGAGATCATGGAGACAACCTTTGACCCAACACCACTTTGTCACCCAGACCATGGCACTGATGCCTCATCCAGTTTGTTCTTAAACACCTCCAGGGATGGTGACCCCATTACCTCCCTGGGCAGCCCATTCCAATGTCTGATCACTCCCTCTGTAAAGAATTTCTTCCTAATGTCCAGCCTAAACCTCCCCTGGTGCAGCTCAAGGCTGTACCCTCTTGTCCTACTGCTGGTTCCTGGAAGAAGAGACTGACCCCCACCTGGATACACCCTCCAGTCAGGGAGTTGTAGAGAGTGAGGAGGTCTCCCCTGAGCCTACTCTTCTCCAGACTGAACAACCCCAGCTCCCTCAGCCTCTCCTCACACCACTTGTGCTCCAGTCCCTTCCCCAGCCTTGCTGCCTTTCTCTGGACACACTCCAGCCCCTCAACATCCTTCCTAAACTGAGGGGCCCAGACCTGGACACAGCACTGGAGGCCATGTAACCAGTGCTCCCTGCTTTACCCTGTCCCTGTTCCTCCTGCCCCGCTGCACTGAGTGTGTGCCACTCACGTGCCCTTTGTTGCAGCCCCAGGACGGCTATCGCATCGTGCAGCACCTGCAGTACATCGGCTGGCCGGCCTACAGGGACACCCCTCCCTCCAAACGCTCCCTGCTCAAGGTGGTCCGGAGGCTGGAGAAGTGGCAGGAGCAGTACGATGGCAGGGATGGCCGGACTGTTGTCCACTGCCTGTAAGTAGGACTGGAAAGTGCCTGTAACCTTCACACGGTGCTCTCTGAAGAGCGGTGCTCTCCAGACCCCGATCGTGGGGCTGGAGTTTTGGTGGTGTGCCAGGCCTCAGCTCGGGAGAGCAAAGTGCAATTACGTTTGTAATGCACTTCAGGTTGAATATTGTGCTGCTGGTTGTGGTGAGGAGTAGCTCAGAAAGCTCTGCTAGGTCCTGTTGTGTGGGTGGGTCTCTGACTGGAGCCCAGGCAGACCTGAAGCAGCACTGCCGTGTGCCCAGCTCTGCCCACAGAGCTGCTCTGAGCACTGAGGAGCAGCACTGCAGTCCCTGGGCTTCCCTGTCCACCACTGCCAGGAATCTCTTAGCCCTTCCATCCCTGTCTCCTGCCCTGAAGGTCTCCACTTTCATAGAATCATGGAATGGTTTGGGTTGAAAAGCACAGCAAAGACCACATCACTCCACCCCCTGTCATGGGCAGGGACACCTTCCACTGGTCCAGGTTGCTCCAAGCCCCATCCAACCTGGCCTGGGACACTTCCAGGGATGGGGCAGCCACAGCTTGTCTGGGCAACCTGTGCCAGGGCCTCCCCACCCTCACAGGGAAGAATTCCTTTCCCAATATGCCCTCTGGCAGTGGGAAGCCATTCCCCCTTGTCCTGTCACTTCATGCCCTTGTCCAAAGTCCCTCTCCAGCTCTCCTGGAGCCCCTTTAGGCACACAAAACCCCTTGAATGTCCATGACCAGTTACAGACTTCCTTAGTGTCCCTGGGGGAGTTGTTCTCTCTGTCCCTCAGCCCTACCAGCTTCCCCTTCCCCTCTCTTCTGTGCCCCCAGGAACGGAGGGGGACGCAGCGGCACCTTCTGTGCCATCTGCAGCGTGTGTGAGATGATCCAACAGCAGAACATCATCGATGTGTTCCACATAGTGAAAACACTACGGAATAACAAATCCAACATGGTGGAGTCACTGGTAAGCTTTTTTTTTTCCTGTGTGTTTCCCCTCCCAGCATGTTCCAGGGCCTTTAGGATAGGTAGAAAATTGTCGTGGCTTCGTTCAGGGCGAATCAAAGTGAATGAGAACATGAAGCCATCAGAATTATAATGGCTTCTGGTTTAGCATGTGCAGTGAGTCCTCCTGCTTCTCTCTTTGAGCAGAAAGGGTGCCCTGGCAAAATGATGAACACTGCCTCCCGTGCCCAGCTGGCTCCAGGAGGTCAGACACCAAGGAGCTGGCACAGTGGCTGTGAGAAGGGGTGGGATCTGTCCTCCTGTCCATGCACACAGCCTGTGGTGCTGAATGCTGTGACATGTCTTCAAACCAGGGAGGGAGAGCAGCCCAAACCCCAGGCCTTGCTCCCTGCAGCCCAGGAGATTAAACTGTCCTGAATTCAATCATCTCCATCGATCACGCCGAGTTCGTGCCTCAAAAGCAGCGTGTGGAGGTGAATAATGAATAGTCCATACTGGGGCTGTCTCTGTGAGTGCTTCTCTCTTCCATTGATGATACCATCTCCTAGCAGTGCTTGTTCAGGATCACATAAAAAGGCAATCAATGTTTGCCTGGTCCTGCCAAAGGGAATAAGAAAGGGAGAGGAGGTATTTTTGCTGGTAGAACAAGGCTCTGAAGAATTCACCCATATCCTAATGCCATTTCTTTCTGTTCTCTCTTGCAGGAACAGTATAAATTTGTATATGAGGTTGCACTGGAATACTTGAGTTCCTTTTAGCCCAGAGGAGGGAGGGGACCCTCGGATGTGCCAGACCCCAATCTCTGGCAGGCGCTTCTCCCCTCTCCCACACTGGAAGGCAGTAACAAGTGTGGGAAGGAAAACCTCTCCTTCCTGGAGCAAGAGACTGAGGTTGCACAGACCTCGCTGGAAGGAGGAGACAATGCCTGTGTGTGCTGCTGCCTGCTTTCTATTGGAACATCTACTGCTTCTTAAATAACCTACTGTAAAAATTAGCAAAATGGGAGACAGGCTGAAAGACTGGACTTTCTAATCCCCTCTGACTTCTTCTCTCCTCTTTTGGATTGTATTTTTGCTCTGCTTGCTGCAGAGTGGGGAAGGAATGAAACCCTTAGGAAATTCTCTTTTAAATGTCTCCTTTTTAATTTATAATTTTGTTCTCGAATCCCAGTCTTTTCATTTTTTAATTTTGTGCAGCAGTCATTTGGGAAAAATGAGATAGCCATAGGGGATACATGAAATATTTCATTACGGTTTGTCTACCTTATCTCTTTCCTTTTTTATTTGTTTTTCCAAATGAAAAGGCCAACACAGAAGAAAAACAACGCTGGAATTCTCTTCCCACACGTAGTTCCCTTTAAGCATGAAAATAGACGGTGGAGATGAGCAGCTGTTCGTGGATTCACTGCCTCCACACAAACGTTTCCTCCCAGTTTCTGCTCCACTCCCAGGGCTGTGCATGAACCGGTTCCACCTCTCTGCTCTGTGTTCCCTTGGGTGCTGGTGAAGCAATGCCACTGATGAGTTTCCCAGCCACTTGAACCTTAAGGTTAAATATTTGCATCAAACAGATTGCAGTTTGTCTTGCAACTTTGGTAACTTTGTTACCACATTTTTCGAGTATTTGCTGGGGTGCAGTGTGTCTTTGAAAAAAAACAAACAGGGTATAAAGTAGGTATTCTTGCTCATATACTATGTATTACTGTTTTTTATTTATTATTTGTATTGCTGTAGAACTTAGGACCCCTAGTCACGACAGGACCCTGCTGAACTAGGCACTGTGCAAACAGAGAGCAAAGAAGGTTCCTGCTCCAGAGTTTAAAAGCTGAAGGTTCTTAAAATTGGGTTTTGGCAAGATTTCCTCGCTTTTTCCAGGCCCTACAAGCTTTAAAATGGGAACCCGTTGGAGCTGCAGGAAAGGTGATGTACATACACAGAAACCTGTTCTGACACATGTAAGGAGAAGTGTTAGCCCAGCACAGCAACTTCTCTTCTTAAGCAAAACAGCTTTTGTTTCATCCTGCAAAAAATGCCTGTGCAACTCTCCTGCTCCCAAACAAACACCAGATGTGTTTTGCCATGGCTCTGGATCTCGCTCTGATTTCGTAGCAGCTAAGAAATTGCTTTTCTGAAAGAGTGTGTTTAAGTAGTTAATCACTAAGGTCTGCAGGGTAATTTTGGAGAAAAAAAAATAATTGAAAGAACAAGGCCTTACTATAATTAGTATTTGAATTTAGCCATTTATTTATCTGGAGGGTGCTGGATATGAGGTTGCTCTCTGTGTAAATTAGATTCTGGGATGTAGGTTTCTTTAAACTCAGACTTTCTAAAAGATAGATTGAAGGGAAGAGTTTAAAGAAATTCCACTTTCTTACCACCCTGTATTTTCCACCCTCAGGTAAATTCTCAGAGGCTGTGCTGGGAGCTCTGTGCTCTCAATGTGTGACAAGTTCAACACATTTTGCTACTTCTGTCTGTAAGTTCAAAAGGCTTCACTTCATGATCATTATTTCTTCAATAGACAAACTGCCTTGGCAGTGAGGGATGAAAATGAGAGCTGACCAAAGCAGCTCTCAGCTCACACAGGTACCTCACCACAGAGTTTCCATCCACCAGGAGCTGCACCAGTCCAGGGAAGGGTGCTTGGAACTGCAATAATCCTCTTCCTGATAAGCAGATGAAGGGGTCTGTGGGATACTGAACCTCCTAGCCTGGATTCTTTCTAAGGAGCTTTGGATTCTTGGCTTTAATGTCATGAACCTCATCCTCCCTGATGTGCTGTAAAGTGTTGGTGAGAACTCCCTCACAGGAGCCTCTGCTCTGCTTCTAGTTGGTCCTTTCTGTTGCCTGCAGGAAATCATGAAATCCCCTTTAGTTCCAAATGGGGCTGGAGGTGGGTGTCTGGCATCTCCTGAGACAGGCTACTAGTTTGAATTGTTGGGGTTTTTTTCCTTATGCAACTAAGCAACACAAACAATTCTGCAGGGAAAAAAGAATAGAAGGCAAAGCAAAGCTCTGAGATAAAAATGGCCTTATATTGGTGTTTGCATTACAGGTGGCTGGATGGAACAGTGTAGGTCAGGAGTTGGGAGCTATTAGTAAAGATGAGGGAATTCTGATCCCAGAATGGGATTTTTGAGCAACTGCCCACGTAGGAAGAAGCTACAAGTCAGCAAAGTGTTTGTGACTCTGCTGACTCCAGAAAGCCAGAGGGAATCAGTCCCTGTGGATACTATGGAAATACTAATTAGCATTTAGCATTCTGTTAATTTTACATGGAAACTAGCACAGGGATGGGTCTCCTTCATGATATAAGAGGGGGAAAGACTGGTGGAAGCACTGAGAGTGACAACCAGGATAAAAGGAACAGAATGGTAAAGAAATAGGATGAGATGTGAAGTATAGGACCTAATTCAGGCTTAACAGTAGCAGGAAGGAAAGTGGATTAAAAAAAGGGAATTAAGCCTGCAGGAGGGATGTGTGCATGGAGAGAAGGAGCTGTGGGATGAGCAGAGCAGAACAGCACTTGCAGTGGAGTTGTTTAAGGTCCTGAGGTAGGATTGACTGTGTTTTATGGTATGAAAAATGCTGCTAAAGGATTTTAAGTCCCTGGATCAGGCTGCTCCACGGCAAGTCAGGTGCGCTTTTGGCCCTCTGCAAACGCCAGGTGATGTTGACATGAAGTGCAGGGGAAGATGTTAAAGCTAAATTTTACATTTTGTAGGAGTTAAATGCAAGTGTTGGTTGCCACAGCCCAGCTGTTAATCACAGCTTGTTCTGTGGCCCCTCAGCTGCGTGTCTGAACCCTCATGTCCATGTGTGGGAGGGTGCTCAGTGGACACTGAAGGTTTTGTTGCCAAACTGATAAAAATTCCTGCAGTTATGGTGCTTTTGGGGGACCAACCCAGCTCCAGTGTGTGTTGTCTCTGGGATATTCCTGCTGTTCCTTGCTGCACACAGTGCATATATGCTGAGTGTGAATTAATGATGAAGGGAATTGTGTGGAAAGAGAGGACGAGCTGGCTTTAAATAACTTTATTACCTTGAAGTTGTTTAAACCCTAGAGAGCAGCCCATGGCAGAGCAGGTAATGTGTTTGAAGCATGATTATGGGTGATGGGTTTGTTTTTGTGGGGAAGGAGAGAAATTATTAAATGAGATGAGATGAGATAAAGGAGGTTTTCTCGCTCCTGGAAAGATTAATAGTCAGGGTGAGCTTTCCAGCCTAAGCATCCCCTGCTGTGGATGGAAAGCGATAATGTGCAGTAGAAAAGGTGAATTCCTTCAAGTGATTGAATTTTAAGCTGGAAAAATATCATATTGCCCATTCAAATATCCACATTTGAATGGACATAATGAACATAAACTTATTCAGTCATCCTTCAGGAGTGAGGGAGCAGTTTATGATAGCACAGGACTGGTGTAAGGTTTGGTCTGAAATACAAGATACTAGAAACAGGGAAAGAAGCGTGGGTCAGGTGTGACTATGTCATACAGAGAGTAACTAACATCTGAAATTAGTATGGGATGTAACTGAAACAGTGAATTCCAGAGCTATCTAAGCTGGCTGCTGGAGAAGAAAGAGTTTTCTAGATGGGAGATAGACCAAAACCCCTAAAAGATACAGTAGGCCTTAAGAATCTTTTCTTTTTTTAGTTTTATGTTTGCTTGGTGGGGGGGTTTGGGTCTGTATCTTTTTTTAAATTAAGATCTGTGCAGGACCGATGTCCTATGGTGGCTCTTTTGGTTTGGTTTGGGTTTTTTTTCTTCTTTGAAGGTAAGGTAAAAGGTGTTTGAGCTGCTGTAAATAGACTTGAGGTACTTGTTTATTAATGTAAAGAAAAGAGAGAATACAGTGGCTGTGTGGAGGTACCTGAATCAGGACCTCTGATGGCAAGCAGGCAGATGGGGATGTGGTGGGTTGTGTATGTTTGCAAGTTGGAATAACCTGTGTTCTCTGAGCAGGGAAGTTCCTTTCCTGGGCTATGATTAGTAGGAAGCCCTTTAATTTGGTATTCTTCAGCAAGGTTGCACAGAGTTATGTCTGCTTTTGCCATGCAACAGTGGGTCCCTCTTAATTTATTCACATTTTAGCCATTTTTGTGAGGTGTGACTTTGTGTGGCCTTTACCCCCGAGATAACCTGCAGTTTCCATCCCCTTGTCTTGTCCACCTGCACACACATCTGAAGAATGTCCAGAGAACTCCTGAAAGGCAGACAGAGATTTTGGGAGATGCCTCAAATCATTCTGGTCCATGTAACTCCACAGAGCAGAGGAAGGAACCCCAAAGAACAGCTGTTCCCTGCAGCAGCCTGTATTTGTGTGTCAGTAGTTTCCAACCTTTTATGGAAAAAAAAAGTCCAGTGGCAACATAGACCCCACAGTTGTAGATTTGAGCCTCTAGATGCTAGACTGGCTTTTCCATTTACTTTTCACAGGCCCTTTAGCAGCAGTTTGTGGGGTTTCCTTTGGGAATCTTAAGGCAGAGATTGCTGGGCACTGCTCTTGTTGTGCTGTAGAGTCAGAGAAGGAGAGAGGCTCCTGCAGCAGGTGGTTCAGAAGACACTTAAACTAGTTGCCATCTGGGAGAGGAGGAAAGAAGGAGAAATCTCCTTTGGGAGAAACCCATCTTTGGAGGAGAAGGAAGATTAAATGGATCCTGAAACAGGGAGGAATTTGCACCTTGCTCTCTCTCTCAGTCTTGCACAGCTGCTCTTTATCTTTCTTACACTTCCGAGTTCCTGCCAAGATCATAAAAAAACAGGTAATGCCACATTCCGTGCTGTGGGGATGGAGCACTCAGAGTGTGACAGAGAGAATAAATCCTGAGGGACAGAGATAAAAGGAGATTCACTTGAGAGAGGAATCTTCAAATACGAGGTGCCTCTGCCTGTCACACCTGCAGAATTTTTAGTGAGTCGTCACAGAGCAGTGCACAGTCCTGGCACGGTCCTGGGTGTGCAATGTGGTGGCAAAGTTCCACTTGGAGAACTTCATTGTCCTGTAATAAATGTGAGCAGTCAACTCCACTACGTTGGTGGCACAGTTAATTTTTGTGATCCCTCCAGCCGGTGCAAGGGGCGTCTCAAGAACTTTGGTGTGAAACTGCTGTGTTTTCATTTGAGAGTCTTTCATTTGTCTTAAGTGTAAAAAGAGTCAGTCAGCCCCAGATTTTTAAGAAAATAAAGGGGGGCCATGTGGTTAAAGTGGCAAAAGTGGTTAAAGTGGTTATTCAGCATAACCACGGCCTTTGGGTCAAAAATTCCGTGTACCTGCTGTGTGAGGGTAGAACAAACCACCACAGCTCCCCTGCCCAGACACTGGAGCAGAAACGGGGAAAGCCAGGGAATTAAAGTCAGAGAGACAGACATGAGTAATAAGGATTCTGTTAACCCTCCTGTGCTCCTGTTTATTTAGATTGCAGTCTTCTATAGCCATGCATACATAATATACAATTTAAATGCAAGTGCTCTTTCTTTCCCTGTTCCCAAAAATACCTACAGCTCTTCTTTCCTCCAGGGTGAGCCAACAGCATAGCAAGCAAAGCCCAATTTCTGCAGTTTTTGGCAAGGGCCACTAGGAAAATCCATCATGTATTATCTGCTCATTGACTTGGAAAAGGTATCAGTCATCTCCCCTCATATACATACTTGAAGAATGTACAATTTGCTGAAACTGTCAAGCAGAATCATATGTTTTCATACACCGAGACCAAATCCTGGTGGTACAGAGTGTGATGGAAAGAAAAAAAATTACAAAAACTTGCTGACTTCCAGTGACCTCTAGTCTATAATCTCTATTTGCTGTGTTAAACTATTTTAAAAGTTTCCCTTGTAAAAAATAACCTCAGACTATCCTACAGGTTGATGTTGGATTAGCAGAATTGTGAAAACCTGGCGGCTTTTTCAGTTTGTAAAAACGTGAGAGGTCTAAATTAGTCTTTCCCATCCTCGCCCCAGTGCATGCAGCAGATTTTTCACCACTATTGTGTTTTCAACCTGAGCCTTAAAAAACAAACTAATGCAGCAGACTGAGTGCCAGATGCTGGTATTCCCATAGTGTTTCCTGGGGGCAAAAAAAATTAAAAATAATAATAATAATAAAAAAAAAGAATGAAATGGGAAAAGAACAAACTAAAATGTTGTTTTCTTGGAACTCAATTCAGCCTGAGCTGTTTCTAAGCAGTATAAATGTGAGCAAGTCCATGTCACTCTGTCTGGAGGAAGGATGTGCTTGTTACAAGGTGAAGGTTTGCTCTTGATGTCCCTTTGGGACCGCTCCTGATACTTCATATGTGGGTATCCAGCAGTGTAGTGGTTACTTCAGGGAGGGCACTTTGTCCCAGAAGGAGTGTTTCAGTGGAGATCTGTTCCCCTGAAACAGTTCCCCTGTTGGTGAGACTGTGTGAGACACCTCGGGAGTGGGGAGTGTTGCACTGTGGAGACTGATTTCCTTGTGTGAGTACATCATCTTTCAACAGGGACCTCCAGGAAATCTTATTTGTGCAAAGTTATGGAAAGAAGGGCGTTTTGGGGGGATGGAAGTGGGAGTGGGGCCAGCACTTCACAAGCTTTCCTGAATTTAGGTGCTCTGACAAGACTCCCCGGGACAAAGGCTGGTCAGGTTTTCACGTTGCTGACAGTTGAACCAGAATTCATGTGCTAGACTTCCATGTACCTGGAGCAGAACTGGAATTACCCTCTCATCACCCCTCCAGCCCTTTCTTGCATTGCCAGCACTTAAACACTGTACTTCTATGCCAAAAGTTTGAGCTGCATCCTTAACACATCCTTTAACCCCCCTGACTAACCGCGGGGACAAAATTCACTCCCCTGCTGATTTAACCTCCTCCCTCCCCGCGCCGACACTGTGGAATTCAAAATGTCCCAGCATTTTGTTGCCAGGCTTGTCACCACTTCACACAGCCGTGCTGTGGCTGCCCCTGGATCAGCAGTGTCCCATCCCAGGCCCCTGGATGTGTTCTCCAGCAGGGAGGAGTGCTGCATGAGAGCCAGTCTCTGCTGTTGCGATGCCGCCCCATCTTCCCCCCCTTTGGCCTTTCTGGATTCCTGGTGAAACTCACTTGTACAGTTTGGATGTTTGATAGATAAAGCACGTATGAAAAAAAAAAAGGAAAAAAATATAAATACAAAACTCTCAACACTGTGCATTCAGTGTCTTTCTAGCTTAAAAGAAGGAAGGTAAATAATGTCAAGTCAATGAATATCAGATATATTTTTTGACTGTACATTACAGTGAAGTGTAATCTTTTTTTTACAACTGCGAGTCCATCTTATTTATTCTTGTAAATGTTCCCAGACAATGTTTGTAATATGGGCTGTGTTGCAAATCCATAAAATAAATCTGTGATCTGAGATTAATGTTTTACTAAGAGACTCTTGTACTTGTGCCTTTTCTTTGCAGTCAGAGGAGACAGTGCTGCCAGAAATGATGGGGTGATTGAATGACAAAAAGTAAGACCAGCATCTTGTCACAGTGATGGGCTTTGCACCGTGGTTGTCATTCAGGAGGCAAAGAGAATTCACCAGGCACTTCAGTCTGGCTGCAGCTTTTGGGTCAGTCCCCTCAGAAAGGCTGTGGATGGGAGCTGAGCAGGTTGGAAAATTACAGTCTTAGCAGCATGGGTTAGAGCAAAGCATATTTTTTTGCGACTTTTTTCTTTCTAACAGGTATCCCTATATTGGTATTTCCTTGGTATTCAGTGCTGAATGATGATCACTAATATGGGACTGAGATTTTTCTGGTGTTTTCAATAGATGGACTGTGCTGGTTCAGCTGGGGTAATTTACTTCCCAGTGGCTGGTATGGGATTTTTGCCATGTTTTGGGTGCATGCTGGACACAGGGTTGATAATGCAGATGTTTTTGTTATTGCTGGGCAGGGCTTACCCAGAGCCAAGGCCTTTTCTGCTCCTTGTACAGCCACACTGGGGAGGGCTGGGGGGGTGTGGGAGGCTGTGAGGAGACACAGCCAGGACAGGTGACCCAAAGTGACCAAAGGGACATTCCAGACCATGACATCATGCTCAGTGTGTAAAGTGGGGGAAGAAGGAGAAAGGAGGGGACATCCAGAGTGATGGTGTTTGTCTTCCCAAGTCCCTCTTACGTGTGCTGGGGTGCTGCTCTCCCGGGGGTGGCTGAACACCTGCCCAACCATGGCAAGTGGGAGTGAATTCCTTGTTTTGCTTTGCTTGTGGGCACAACTTTTGCTATCCTATTAAACTGTCCTTGTCTCAGCCCACACTTATCTCAGCTTTCACCCTTCTGATTGTCTCCCGGATCCCGCTGGGAGGAGGGAGTGGCTGTGAGGGGCTGGATTGGTGGGGGTGAAACCAAACCATGGACACAGAGAGGGTTTTGTGCAGATGTTGCTTGATTCCAAACCTGAACAGAGGGTAGGAGTGTCAGTACCGAGTGTTTTCACACCCTGCCCAGCAGACTCCCACTTCTGGTCTTCCACACTTGCCCACTGACCCAAGGCAGGGTTTGACACCTTCAGTCAGTGCAGAGCAGCAAGACTGTAGGAGGCAAGAAAGTAGATGAGGCTGCCATGCTCTGGAGACCACTTTGTTCCCAAAATACAGGCAGGAGAGCATCAATATTCACACCTTAGTGAGCCAAAACAAAGAGAGACCAGTCACACTCCACTCGTACAACCCAACTGGGATAAGAACTGCTCTTTTAGGCATTGTTCATTAGCCTTACTAAAAACAAATAAAATAAAAATAAGGTATCTTATCAAGGATGACATAGCTCCTGTTTTTCTTAAAGGAGTTGGACTCGATGATCCTTGTGGGTCCCTTCCAACTCAGGATATTCCATGATTAAAACAAAGAAAATCTACCTTGGAAACATAATTTACTAATCCTTTCTGTATGTATTCATTATTTTCTTTTGAAAATACTTTTAGTTCTTCCTTGCTATGAACAAAACCGCCCTGGGTATCAGTGTTTGGCTCAGATACAGGTGGGTTTTTTTTTTATTGTCCTGATAAAGCAAATTCTGCCTCTCAATTGTGGTGAACATTCAGATATAACACCTGTTTATTCAAAGGGTTCATTATAATGAGGTTACACTGTCTGAAACACCCTTCAGTTGCAGAGCTGTTGTTATGCCAGGGAGAGAGTTTGAAGAATTTGATACCAAAAAAAGCTCCTCACTGCAGTGTCAGATTGAGAGGAAATTTTACCCGTGGAGTCCCAACTGAGTAACAGTTGTATGTTCAGAGTGATTAATTACAGTTCAGCTTGGCACATTATCCAGATTTATCCAAAATATTTTGCTGACACTTGATATTAACAACAGGTTGCATTTAGGGAAGGTAAACAGCAGAGACAGCTCTGCCATATTCCAGATGGTCTTACAAAGATCCCCGTTGAAATGCCAGCACTGAGGAACAGCCACAAATTCACCTTTCTGCCCTCTCATCTGCCCAGCACAGGGCAGGGGTGGGATAAAGCTGCTGGGGGAAGACAGATGGAGAAGCCTGAAACCCACTGGGGTTCAAAGTGTTCGCCCCCTGTTCCTGTTGCTGTGACTGACACGTGCTGAGGTGTGAATCCAGCAGGCATTTTATCCAGGTCAGTCATTGCCTCCAATATCTGCAGCTGCTTTTCCATCCATCCCCAGGATAACCAGTATCATCTTACTGATAGTGCTGCAAGGTCTGTCAGGTTTGACAAACACTCTTTGCCTGAGCTGAAGCTCTTTGTCTCACAAGTTGAACCTTTAAATATCAGATCCCACACCGAGCTGACAGGGCAGCTGTTGTTTTACAGCAGACTTCAAAACTGGCACTTACTCAGGCTTGGCTGTCTATGTGATAATTAGAATTATAGAATTGTTTAAATTGGAAAAGACCTTTAAGATCCTCTGAGTCCAACCATTCCCCCAGCACTGCCAAGGTTACCACTGAGCCGTGTCCCCAGGTGCCACATCT